TCACCAGGGCACGCTACATATATGTCCAACAAAGGGCAGACAGGAAGAAGGTGGCCAGACCCTTAACCTGGGAACCGTCAGTGAAGCACATATCAGTCTTCCTAGGCCTGGGCCCCTCCAAACACTGCTAGGGCATACCAGTACATACAGAAGCCTCATGGGAACAGCTCAAAGTTCTAAAAGCTCCTCAGAACCTACACCCTATCTATGTACCTTTACATCATCCTAGGCTGCATGTCCCTGTGACTGATGATGCCTGAATTTCCCCTTTAACACCCAGCCCACACCCACCAGGTTTCAATATAGTGTTTGTCCCCAAAAGCAAGTTCACACAGACTCAGACTTTTCCTGAAATCGGAGCAGGGCAGCAGCTAAGGCTCTGTCAGACGCTGTTAGAGTTTCCAGCCTGGGTTTCATGTGCTCTGAAGTAACAGTCTGGAAGCCCATAAAGCACCCCTGGGTTCACCACGGCCCTTCTCTCTCCATTGCCAGGCCCAGAGCGACCTTCCAGACATGTCCCTGGCCTTCCCAGAGCAGGGCCTGTAGATCTTCCTTCTGGTTCTGCATCTCAGGCCTCACCAGCTCTGCTTCCCAATACTCTCAGAGCAGCCAAGGAGCTGGGCAGGCTGGTGGTGGCTGAAGACCTCCCAGCCACCCCTAGTTCTTCGACAGGGCCTCTCTGCCCAACCCTGGGCAGCCTGACCTGGCCACGTTCACTGGGGCTTTCTCAAGGCGCAGGACCATGTGTGTGGTGATACTATTTTATTTGTTTTGTGAGGAGACCATGAGGGTCATGATTCACAGGGGTCATGGTGACCAGTCCTGACCTTGACTGGAAGGGGAACTGCTTAAAAAAACAAAACTCAACAGAGAAACGAATCACTTGCCTTAGACGTTAGCAATGGGGATATTTTGTTACTTTAAAAACAGAATGAAACACACAAAAAGCTGTCCTCCTTATCCTCAAAGTGTGCTCTGAAAGTAACGGGAGAAAGACAGTCATGTGACTTGATTTCTGAGAACCTGAAATGCTATCTTCCCACCTGGAACTGAACACAATGTATTTAAAGGCCTGGTGACGGCAGGCATCTGCATGCAGCTGCTTAGAAAGTGCAGAGTCCTCAGGAAAGGGTCTTCCCCTCCGAGGGGTGAGGTCATCCATGGAAGAGCTCTGCACACACCTATGTGCACAGCTAAGCGCAGACCGAGACCTCTGAGGTGGCTTTGTGGCTCATTTTTCTTCAGGGTCGGTGTGGGTGGCACGGGGTGAACATTACAGAGAGATTTGCCCTCTGCAGAGGACACTCAGCAAGGCAGAGATGTGCAGGAGACGCAATGGTTTGCTGACTTCAGACCAGGGAGGGCACTCGACTAGGAGTGGACAGCCCTTCTCGGTCACTGCTGTGGAAGGCTAAGGCCAGTGTGCTCTTCCCTGAGTGGTGGGTGAGGTCCCTGGGCCATAGATAGCCACCCTCATGGCATCCTTAGAGCAGTCTTTTAAAGGAGTCTGCGGGAGGGCCTTGTTCCCCTTTTACAGGCAAGGAAGTCAGCTGGGGAAACCCCTCGCTCCCTGGTGCAGAAGCTCTAGGGGAAACTGGCTTCTTAGATTTGGGGTGTCCCAGTCCAGCTAGACAAGGTTAGTCCAGGACAAAATGTACCACAACCTCCATAGAAACACAAGGCTAACATCCAGAGGCCACTAGGTTCTTCAGGGGCTCCAGGGATCTGTCAGATCCAGCCTCACGCTAGCTAGTTTCCCCGTGTCCTCTCTGGTGGCCCAGCTGGGTGGCAGTCCTCGATCACCTCTAACCCAGGCCATAGCCCTGCATAAGTTTTCCGGGGGACTTGTCATCCATCTCAGTTCTAGGCAGGGTGGCCTCCAGGGACCTCTGCCAGGTTCCTTCCCTCTGTCTAGCCAGCCCAGGATGTTCCTGACACTCCCAGGCTGACTGCAGTGAAAGGGAGCTGAAAGAGGGGAGGGAGGCCACAGGCGGATTCCTGGCACCCTGGGGTTGATCTCCATCAAGCAGGCTGCAATAAATGTGGCCCCAAGTTCCACGTACTGCATACTGCATGCCCCCTCCCCCAGCACAGCAAAACCCCAGCAAAGCGGTGAGGAAAACACACATACAGAAAAGAGGTCAAAGGCTTTCAGGAGCTGACCCTGACAGCCGGCCTTCCTCTCACCATTTATTTATTGCCATCCCACCCGGGCCATCAAAGGCACCAGCTCCAGGAAACCTTCTTTTGGGCTGGTGTCCTGCACTCAAAAGCCAAGGCCCCTCCTGAGTGTAACATGTCCCCCTCCCTCACCCGGGTCGGATAGATCTGTCAGCCAGCTCAAGGTTACTAACAGCCGATCTGGGACTTCGGCCTTCCTCACCAGAGCCTGGCTAGGTCTCCTGGCTGGCACTTCAGGTGAACTTTCCGGGGAGGCAGTGTCTTTCCTATTTCCAGTGAGGCCATCCTCTAGCCCAGAGGGAGGAGGACGCATTCTGCTCCAACCCTGTCCTCTGTCCTCTCCGCTGGGTACTGCCCCCTCCCCTTCGCTGCCTGCTCTCCTTGGAGAGTGAGTCAGAAGTGACAGATCCTTTCCAAGGTAGCATCATGTCTCAGCAGTGACAGCACACACACACATCAAAGGCGTCCTTCTTTCCCAGGGCCCCTAGATGACAGGGCCTTGATGACATTAGGCAATGTCGTCAGCACAGACATTATCAGTGGGGCATGCGCACACAGACGGGCTGGCCAGTGGCATTAAGCATCATTTTAAAAAATGGGTTAAATAAGCCTCGTGGCCAAGGGACGGTGTGCGTGCTGATTACCCGTGATTTGTAAGTCTTGGCGGTGAGACCGCTCGAAGTCTAATGACTGAATTATCACTCTAATGCCTTTTGCTGGCTGGGAATAATCCCGGGGTAACAGCTGCCACAGGGCATTTGGCTGGTTTCCTCTAATTGCATCCAGATTAAGGTTGCTGTTCTGTGAGGGGCCTCTCTACTCCTCAGAGCAGAGCGGAGGGGAGCTCCAAGAGCCCACACACCATGTCTGGCTGCAGAGGCCCCAGCTGGCCTGATGCTGAAGTAACACCAGGGTCTGGTAGTCCGTAGGACTAGATGGGAAACCTGGCACAAGGCTGGCACTGAACAGCCTGGGTCAGGTTTTGGAGAGCAGCAGCGGGGGGTAGGGGGATTGTGGAAGCTAGAGACTTAGAATAAATGCTCTCTAATTGAGACTCTCCAATGGGACTGTCTGAGTCTGCTCCTGCTGTCCCCACCCAACACAGCACAGTGTAGATATTGGGGTACAGTACAGAATGTGATCCTGTAGAGGGGTAGGGAAGGAGTTGGTTCCTTTCCAGGAAAGCAGGGATCTGTACCTAGATTTCTTGGGGTGGTAGGCCTGTGGGACCTCTCTGAATTACCAGACTTCTGTCACATGACTACCAAGAGAAGACCCAAAGATGAGGGCTTGCTTTCCCAGTGCTGGATACTGGCTTCGTTTGCTTTGACCTTTGCGTGGTTAGTGAGTGGGGTATCCACTTTAAAAAAAAAAAAAAACACTGTCTGTTTCTGCCTCTACAGTCATGGGGTAACCTAAGACCCAGAGGCCAGTGCTGTCTCACACCCATATACACCACCCACGGGGATTTCAGAGATGATGACAACCCCAGAAGTAATGGGCCAAACTATCCAAGACAAGAACCACCCGCCTGGACTGCAGTCCCAGGGTCTGTGCCAGCCAGGTGCACAGAGTTCTAGGTCACTGAGGCCCTGCCCTGTATTTCTGTTACTGGGGTAACAGGCAGTGAATATACCTGTTTTTGGCCCTAGCTTCAAGAAAGTGTCAGAAGCCAGTATAGAAAGCAATTCCGACAAAAGACCACTCCCAGGACTGCACTGTTGCTCACAGCAGACAATACCCCCCAAGATCAGGACATCCTCTTCCAAAGGCTCTTCCTAGAAGGACCCACATTCTCAGAAGTGCCTGCAGAGGGGGGATGAGCTCATGGAGAAAGGGAAGCTGAGAAGAGAGGCCTGTAAGAGGCCTTCCCCCCACATTCTTCTCATTCTGAGGCTCCACCCCTCTTATTTTGAGGCACCGGTCCTCATTTTGAAGCCTTGCCCCCTCTCATTTTAAGTGCCTGCCCCTCTCATTCTGAGCCTCACCCTTCACATTCTGAGACCCCCCCTCAGTCTGAGGCCCCGCCCCTTTCACGCGGAGGCTCCGCCCATCTCATTTGAGGCCTCGCTCCCTCCCATTCTGAGACCCCACCCTTCTTACTCTCAGGCCCCGCCTTTCTTATTCTGAGGCTCCGCCCCTCTCATTCTGGTCAGCACCTTTAAATGTGGCACCGTCCTGCAGCACCACTCTCAAATGAGAAAAGCCAAAAAGCAGGGCACCTCCAACCACCCTGCATCCACTATGAGGATTCAGCCCTTGGTGAAGGAATCCAGGCTCCTTGCTTGCACCAGCTTTTGGGACCCTGGCTAGGAACGCTCTGGAACATACATTTATCCAACCACAACCCTCAGCTTTGGAGTGTGGAGTGTGGGCGTGACTTTTTCCTTCTTAAGAGGAAGAGAATCCCAGTGTTGCTGAGCTAGGGTGAAGCCAAGGAACAGAAGCCCCCTAGGTCCTGCATGGTGGTGGAGGCACCTCCCCAGCTATGTCAGACGCCTTTGTCTTGGCTGGGGAGTTATATACTCTGCCTTCTCCAGGACCTAGTATTCAGACGACCTCATGGTTGTGCATACCACACCCATCAACCCATTCAGGCCCCAGTGGGTTGTTGTTTCTGGTAGAGAAGACAAACCTTACCCTCAGGGGAGGACCCAAGTGGAGGGTGTATCTGACTTGTCTACCAGCCTGCTCCTCTGGCTGGAGTAGGCATGTCCTACATACATAGCAGGCCACAGAACAGGGGAGCACTGTGAGAAGCCCAGGCCTGAACACCTCCCCTCACAAGCTTTTCTTCCCCCACCCCTCCCTCCCTCCCTTCTTTTTCTTTCTCTTTTGGACAGGCACCTTCATACCAGTCTTGCAGCTGTGACCAAGAAGCTTCGCAAATGTGCCTGACTCTCTCAGACAACAATCCTGCTCCTCTGTGTCCCTTGGTGCTGGTGTGAGGACAAGGCCTTTTCTAGTCCCTGCCTTGCCCACGGCTTGAGGCTTGGCCTCTTCTGGAACCCCCAGCCAACCAGCAGCCTTCATTCCAGTGGCTAGCCAGACATCCTGGGACCAGCCTTTCAGGAGCTAAATTCTTGGGACAGCTGATACCTGCTGTCAGTTCTGGAGCCTGACAAGGTTCCCTTCACCTCGGTCAGAGGCTTTGACCTCATGTCCTCTCCATGTCCGTCCCCTCCCTCCCCCCACTTGCCCAGGACCTCATGGAGGTCCCCTCGCCCATGGTCAAGGGCAGGGGCTTTCTTATCTTCGGAAACCAAAGGCCTCCCGTGGTGCCTTTGGGCCTTTTTTGCCTTCTCTTGGGGTCTTGGGTGACGGCATCTCCACTGTGCCCCCATAGGGACAGCTCTCTGAGCCCGAGTGGTGGCCGGCACACTCCACAGCTGGCATGTACCCGCTGTCCCACATGCCTGTCCCACACAGCTTACACAGGTCATGCAGGCTGCAGGGGATCCGTGGCAGAAGGCGGAACTGGTACAGGAGACTCCTGGCCTGCAGAGAGAGGACAGGTTAAAGGGAACAGAAAGGCCATCGGGACACAAGTGGAACACTGTAGAAGCAAGGGCCACACCTATAGGCTCACTACGTGGGGACAGCACAGTGCCACAGGTCTCTACTGGCTGTCAAAAAGGGACCATGAGATATTTGGGCAGTTTAAGACACAGAGTTCCCAGATTATATAGGTGGCCACCAATGACAGAGCCACACAGCCCTTCCTGTCCCTTCACAGGCCCCTCTAACTCAGTCCCAATCCCCTCAGGCTAGTAAAAGGCCCCTGTACTTTGTCCATGCCTTTCAGAGCTATCTTCGGCCCCTGCAAGGTCTGTCTGGGGAGCCCGGTGCAGTGAGGGGCCTGAGGACCCCTTCTTGTCCCCATGGACCATCAGAGGCCTGAATCCAAAGGACTGCCAGCTAGGTCATGGGAAGCAGGAATTGGCTGCGCATCAAGGTTGCTTCTGCCAGCCATGGATGGGCTACGTCCTCTCTTGGCTCTGTCTTCTCATCCTCACTTTCCTAACTCTGGACCGGAAGGAGGCACTCCTGGGTGAAGATTTATACAGGCTGGGTGGGCATTCACACACTACAGCAAATCAAAGAGGCTGTGTCCAGTGATGGCTCTCTGAGGACCATAAGGCCAAAGTAGAGACATGGCAGTCCCACTGGGACTGTACTATTCACATGGACTTGGTAGAAAAGCCCGACAAGGTAGGGTGGAGCTCTGCGTTGTGGGGTGATACCCGGGTGCAGAGGCAGGGCTCTGTGATGCGAGAGGGGCTCCAGATGCAAGCTGGGTATCATTCTGTGGTGTGGACAGGGCTCCATGGGCAGGGGTGTGATTGTGAGGCATGGGCGGAGTTCTGTGTGCAGGGCTGGGTCCTTGAGGTAAGACAAAGCTTTACATGTAGGGGTGGGTCTGTGAGGTGTGAGTATCAGGATACTCAACAGGGACTGCCTAGAACCCCCATCCCTTCTCTACCATCTTGCTCACGCCTCCCTCCGTGCGCAGGGCTGTAAAGCATATGGCCTGCTGATGTGCAGGACAAGCCTGACAGGCCCGGCCAGGGTACCCACCTTCCTGAGCACCAATTCTCCGTTCATATGCATGGCCAGGTTTCCGAAGTGCAGGAGCATCTGATCCGTGGCCAGTTGTTGCTCGATGACATCATCCCCGTAGATGGCGACGATGGCCACACAGATGAACAGGTGGAAGTAGTCCGTCTGCGGGGACACGGAGAACTTAAGAGGGGCCCTGCCAAGTCTGAGCCAGAGTTCGGCCCTGAGTCTGGCTCAGGCTACCTGGGTCCAGGCCCGTGCTCTAGGAAACTACACCACCCGCAGCATCCTCCACTGAAGACAGGACCAGTGTTAGCTGCTACACCCGGGGCAGCTGGGACGTACTAACAGATGATAATTGTGGCACATCATGGCTGTTGGTGCTCTCTTGGGAGGTGTCTTCGAGGACGGCAAAGCACACCCTCCTCCCCAGCCTGTCTGAGCTCTCACTGTAGAGTCTCATTCACAGGGGTCTTGAGGGTGCCATGTGTATATGTGCAAAGGATTAACCAGACTGCCTCCTATAGGCTGTAGAATAGATCATCGACATGGAAGACGTTCTGGCAGCCAACTTCCTGGTGGGGTGTCCCTCTCTATCAGCCAAGTATCCCTAGCATGGGTAGCTGCTCTACGGCTGGCAGCTGAGCATGTGGGAATACCCCTACTAAGTGACTCCCTAGAGGTCCCATGGGGGCTGCTACTATCTTGTTGCCTCTAGCCTTCTTTTCCAGGACCCACAGTCCCTCCCTGCCCTCCTTCAGGGCCACCTTGTGGTGCCTGGTCGAGTGGCAGGCAGTCCCTATAGGCTATCCAGCCTGGACACCTGAAAGTGCTCTATCCTGAAGTAGAAGAAGGACAGGGGTGGCGGTGTCTAGGAAGTCCCTGTTGAGTAGCCTGATAACACCACGTGGCCTGTCATCTCCTAACCAGATCAGCAGAGTGCAGTGCTATGGGCGCTGGAGTCCACAGTTCTTCCCCCTAGCTTTGCAGGGAGGAGTGCTTCTGAAGGAGGGATAGGAGCCTGAGACACACTCTGCAGAGACTGGGACAGAGCACAGGGCAAATCCCAGCTCCCGGGCAGGCGCACAGCAGTAAGCCGCAGCAGAGGACTGTATGATGTCTTCCCTTTGGGAGGCCTCGTCCTGCAGTGGCTCCCTTCTGGAGGTCGTTCACGGCCCACCTGCCTTTCCTCTCCTCCTAACCTCGGCTGATGGAAGATGGAGATGATTCCAGATGTGACCATAGATCCCCACATCTGTAGGTAATGTGAACTTACTTTGTGGGTTTTGTGGGCTGCTGAGGAGGGGGTACTGACAACAGCCTCAGAGGATGGATGGGTGCCTTCCTCATCACCCAGTCTTCCTGGCCTCTCAGAACAGCCTTAAGTCTAGGATGTACTAGCAAGCCAGTGGACTGATGTTGCGGGTGACAGAAGGAGAGAGACTTCAGTGTGTGTTTTTCACAGCTGGGGGTTGAGGTGGAGGCAGGCAGAGCTGCGCCCTGGACACACAGGTGGTACTGATGTTCGTGCAAGTGTGTGAGTGCATGTATGTATGCACACATGTACATGAGGCCAGAAGACAGTATCTCAGGGTCTCTCACTGGGACCTGGAGCTTAGCAATTAAGCTAGGCCAGACTGACTGGCTAGCGAGTTCTGTGGACTTGCCTGTGTCTGCTGTTTCTTCAGCACTGGGGCCATGGGTGTGCGCTGTTTTTTTTTTTTTTTCTTTTGAGACAAGTTTGCACTTTGCAGCCTTAACTTTCCTGGAACTCACAAAAACGGCTCTCAAATGCCGGGATTAAAAGCGTGCGCTACTACACCTGGCACGCCTACTTTTTAAAAAAAAACAAAAAACAAAAAACATAGGTTCAGACACTCCGATGCAGATCTGCAAGCTTGCAAGGCGGGCGCTTACCACTGAGTAATCTCCCCAGCCTTTGGTCCTTTGGTATTATCATGTTTAAGGCCAATGGCGTGAAATGACTTGCCTACTTTCTTACACTGATGGCTTGGGTGTTGATGCTGTGTGGCAGTCAGCCCTGTGGTCAGAGAGGAGTTGACAGAAGAGACACTGGTCATGGTGAACACAGGTGGATGCCCGCATCACTGATCCAGGCTCTGACACTGTGGGAAGGCAGGTGCTCAGGGTGGCCCAGCAGTCCCAGAGGGCAGGGCAGGACAGCACCAGCCACTGCATATGTAGGCACATACATCCTCAGGCTGTCTAACTGTCCTGTGGTACTCATGTTCCTCCCATTGACCGGCAGTGACAAGAGGGAGCTCAGCCCAGAATGCAGTCACGAGCAAGTCAGCCAGCAATTTACATGGATTTCAATTACAGGGGAGGAGAAGTCTGAAGCCGGCTGCACAGGCCTGGAAAACACTAGCTAGGAGAGTGGTGTGGTGAGTGGGTGGAGCACGAAGGAGGAGACGCCCCACGCAAAGAGGAGGCTCAGGGTGATCCCCTGACCCTCCCTCCCCAGCAGGATGGTAGCTGCACTCAGGGGTGGCACGGCTCACCTGGTAGTGGGCCCAGCAGGCTTCCCAGATGCGCAGGGCCTCGGCCTCAGGAAACTCCCTCTTGAAGCAGAGCAGGAGCCAACGGTGGCAGAAGAGCATCTGGAGGCCATCCTCACCCAGGGAGACCAGGTGTTGGTAGAAGCGTTGGTGTGTCAGCCGGAGCAGCTCCCGCAGGTACAGCTTGGGGTGGGAGAGTGGAGGGGGTATTACCCAGGCTCTGGGCGAGCCTGCTTACCAGGGTCAGGAAGATCGATACTCAGAATGCCTTCAACTCCAAAAGCACACACAGGAAGTCTCCATGTCTGCCAAACACATCAGCCAGCCAGCATGCCAGCCAGCATGTCAGCCTACTATTGGACCCCTGCCCCCGCAACCTCCGTGTGTGTGTGTGTGTGTGTGTGTGTGTGTGTGAGAGAGAGAGAGAGAGAGAGAGAGAGTATGCATGTATATGACATTGAGTGTCTTCTAACAGTTTGCCTTATTTTATTTTTTTTAAAAGAGACTTATTGTATTATTTTAAAACTTGAAATGATTTATTTTGTGCGTATGAATAATCTGCCCACTCATCTGTGCACCGCAGCAGTGCCTGGTGTTCAGGGAAGCCAGAAGAGGGGGTCGGACCCCCTGGAACTGGAGTTGCAGATGGTTGAGAGACACCATATGGGTCCTGGGATCCAACTCCAAGCCCTCAGCAAGAGCAATCGGTGCTCTTAGCCACTGAGCTCTCTCTCCAGCCCTCATTTTATTATCTTAAATTATGTGTGTAGTCTGTGCACATGACTTCAGGTAGCCGAGTAGGCCAGGGGAGTTAGAGCTCTCTGAAACTGGGATTACAGGCTATTGTGAGCTGCCTGGTGTAGGTGCTAGGAATAAAATCCAGGTCCTCTGCAAGAGCAGTATATGATATTAACCTCTGGGCTAGCCTGAGATGGAGTCACTCACTAAACCTAGGACTTGCCAATTAGCTAGGCTGACTGGGCAGTAAGCTCCAAGGATCTACCTGTGTGAACTTTCCCAGTACACGCCCAGGATATTACCTGGGTTCTGGAGATCTGGGCTCGGGTCCAAATGCTTGTACAACTTTGCTGTCTGAGTCATCCCCCAGCCTCTACCACTAGAACCTCGCTCACGCCCGTCTTCCAGTTCATCTTAGATTTAAAGATATTCTAGAAGGAGACCATGGTTTAGCCCTAGGCACAGTATGATCTCCTGGGTGGTCAAGGAGGCTGACTTAGTATGAAGTCATCCCCCAGCCTCAGCCGACCCCCAGCGGCTGTTTCTAAATGTATGCCCAACCAGGCAGGGTGAGTAGTGTGAATTCCTTCCATCCCACCATGGTCCAGCATCTCCCACAGCTGATTAAGGGAGAGCATACATGTCTGAGTTTGGATTCCTGTGTGTTGGGTCACCAGGTTGCATGGGACTTGACGACAGAGGCTATTTCTGGCAGCACCGGGTGGGGGCTGCCGACTTCACTGACACCACTAGAAAACCAGTCTCCAGCAGCTAATGAGTCACTGGCCATGTGCCGCCAGGCTGCAGGGTGATGGCGTCAGACCCTGTAATTGCCTCCCTGGGTACCACGGAAACCTGACATCACAGGCATGCACGATGTGGCAGGGGCCTGGTTCCTGGTTAGGGTCAGTGCTGCTGAACACAGCAGGGCCTCAGGACTCTGCACCTCTCCAAAGCAAGCACACTCTCCTTCCCCATGCCTGGAGCTGTGTGGCTCTGGAGTCTAGGAGTCCTTCCTGACTGGCCAGGATCTCCAGTCTGTGGCCCACGGAAGGTCAAGGCCACCATATGGCTGACAGCTCTGTAATAGCTGTCCTATCTGCACAACCGTCAGGATGCTCCATTCCTCCTGCAGGCAGCTGTTTCTCCCTATACCTTTGCTGTGGTCAGCCCTCTGTTCCCAGTGGTTGATCTATAAGACATGCTCTCTGCCCTCCCTCGGCTCTGCCCTCACTGCATGAGGTACGCCATGTCCAGCAAGGGGCCACTGATTGTGATTATCCAAAGCCCTCTGTTTAGCTGAGTCTCCAATGTTTGAGGTCTGACCCATATGCAAAAGACACGGTCATGGGGGTGGGAGGGTGCCTGGGACTCCTGTCTCCAGGGTCCAGTGCCTTCTCTTCATACATCCATTCTGTCAGCTTATCTGCTTCCAGACCAGATCATCTGCAGGACTGAGGGCAGGCTACCTACCCAGGACCTGGAACTGGGCAGGGGCTTGACACAAACACAGGTGCGTTGCAATGACAAGATCTAGTCCCCATCACCTGGTGATGCCTGGTTTGTGTACAGCTGATCTCTATGGGGGAGGACTTGAGGCCAGTGTTAGCTGAGTGTCACAACAAGGTCAGCTTTTGGGGGTGGAGATGTGAGACTTGCCTGCTGGATGTCCCATTGCACACAGCTGCCCTGGCTGCCTGTATTGGGCTCTGCTATTCACACATACCTGAACCAGGTAGCATAAACCTCTTTTTCCTTGCTCTTCCGAGGAGGCTGGATTAATGGCTCTGCAGGAAGGCAGGAAGCCACCAGGGTAGGACCTTGAACAGTTGTCCTTCAGGAGGAATGGATTAGAGGCTGACTCAGACCCAAATGTAGGTGACTAGTCCTTCCCAGAAGGCCTGTGTCCTGTCAGCAGAGATTCTGGTTTTCTGCTAACCTCTGACCCCTGATAACATGGCTGCATCTCACCATCAAGACCCAAGCAACAACAGGAGGCAGAGTGCTATCTATCTGAGCCCTCCAGTGCACAGACACACACACGTGTGCACACACACTCGAGTGCGCACACACACATGTGCACACAGATGTAAACACACATACCCACATATACACAAGCACAAATATATTCACACACATGGCTCCACCCCTCACCAGCTGTCTCTCCATGTCCTCGTCCCGGGGAGAGCTGACAAAGATGGTGTTCTGCATCAAACCCACGAAGCACCAGAAGGTGTCTGATTCATCCAAGACCTCAGCCAGGATAGGTGCCACCAGATCGGACATGCCCTGTGAGTAGCCGATGGCTGGGTTGTACACAGCGTAGTTCAGCAGGATCCTCCTGGTGGGGCAGTGGGCTTGAGTAAAGGTGGCTTGAGCCATCCTACCCTTGCTGTTGTGACAGTGCTGGGTCCCTCCTTCATCTCGGTGTCAGGGGAGGCAGAGGCAACAGCCAGTGGCAGGTGCCACAAACCCTGACTATCTCAAGAGTATGAGGTATTGGCTAGGTGTGGTATACATACCTTTAATCCTAACACTCAGTGGGCAGTACAGTCTCTTTGATGTTGAGGCCAGCCTGATCTACATAGAGTTCCGGGATAGCTAGAGCTACACAGAGAAACGCTGCCTTTAAAAAGAAAGTCTGGGTTCTGAGGGAAGTGAGTCAGTGGGACTCCCTTTGCAAGTGATAACAGCCGTTCACCAGGCCCGGAGCCCAGAACACAGGCTGCACAGGACTGTGGGTGTGACTTTCTTAATGGTCCACCATCTGTGGCAGGGGGTGGGCTGGCAGGCACGTATTTATTGGCTGTTAATTTTGTGCAGTTATTTGCTATGCTGCAGTAGAGTATAAAAAATAGCAGCCTCTGGCTCTGCGTGGTGTTATGACGGTCTGTCCGTGAGATGAGAAGACAGTGGTTGGGTTGGGGAGCATCCTTCGTAAACAGCAAGGAGGGGGGTTAGGGGCTTTGCTGTCAGATAGGACTGGGTGGCCACCACAAGGTTCAGAAGCTGGGGCCTCTGCTGAAGTAGCTTGGGAGTCCCCTGTTCTGGGCCTGGGAGGAGTGGTGCACAGTAGCCAGGGGGTCAAAGAGAGTCACAGACTTACACACAAGGAGTCCCGAGTCACCCGGTACCTCATGCTCTCCACGTTTGGATTGTCATCCCCTCGGAAGAACTGGTTGTTCCTATCTGTCCGAACCACGTCCTTGTCCACAGTGAACTGCACATTACGCCAGAAGGCTCTGTGCTCCTCCGGAGTCATAGAGAGCCTGTGAGGCAGACAGAGCACAATCCTGAGGTCAGCTATGGAAGGGGATGCCCGGAGTACCAGGGAGGGGGCAATACAGCAGTCCACCGGGAGCTAGAGTAGCCGAACAGTCCAGGAAACAGAAGCCTGTGCTCTGCTGAGCTCTAACCTCTGTTGCTAGGGCTGTGAGCAGCTCCCAACCGGGCATGTGTGTGTGTGTGTGTGGTATTTGTGTGCATGCACATGTGCATGTATACATGTGTGTGCGTGTGTGTGTACATGTACGGTGTGTTTGTGCGTGTGTGTGCACATGTGTGTGTACTGTCAGCACCGACCCTCTTGCTTCCAACAGGATATGTGCATGTGTGTGTGCATATATATATATATATATATATATATATATATATATATATGTATGTATGTATGTGTGTGCGCATGTGCATATGTGTGTGCATGTGTTTGTACATGTGTGGTATGTGTGTTTGTGTGTGTGTGCACATGTGTGTGTACTGTCAGCACCAATCCTCTTGCTCCCAATATGCACATGTGCATATATGTGTGTGTGCACGTGTACATATGTGTGTGCATGTGTGTGTACATGTGTGGTATGTGTGTGCGTGTGCGTGTGCACATGTGTGTGTACTGTCAGCACCAATCCTCTTGCTCCCAATAGGATATGTGCACGTGTGTGCATGTATATGTATGCGCATGTGCATGTATACATGTGTGTGCATTCGTGTGTACATGTATATGTGTGTGTAGGGGGCTACCCTCATTTTAACTCATCTAACAGGTCTAGCCCCTCAGAGGAGAGCTGACTGCAGCCTGTGGGTCATGAAACCCATGTGGAGAAAACCTTCAGCCTCTGAAGTCAGGTTTCCAGCTCAGCCGTACTCGACCCCTAGTTAAGTCTGTTAAACACAAATTCTAAAACTCTTGGCGATAGAACTAAGGGGCCTGGACCATGGTGCTGGGGGTGCCCTGTAGTGACTTCCCTATCCTGCCAATGGGGCTGGCTCTTAGGAGACTCACGCTCCAAAGAAACCACAGTTCATAGACTATAACAGTCAGCGGTGAATTGCACTTCCCTGCCGAGATTTGAAGGGACTTCTGGGGCCGGTTTGCACCTCTTTTGCTGGATAGCTGCGTATTCCCTTCGCTTCTGCGAACGAAGCGCCTCCCGTTCCTCCGACGTGGACTCATGACTATAGTAGTGCAGCAGGAAAGGCCAGACCTCCCCCCGGATCGACACATCAATGCCACCAAAGAAAATAGCCTGGAGGAAGCAGTACAAATTGAGGGGGTGGGGGGAAAAGAGTATAAAACAGGGAGCTCAAAGAACCCCCAAATCCCCAGAGAAGGGTGTCGTGGGTCCTTTGGCTAGCCTCCGATTCAGACCCCGGCAATTTGCACATGTTTACAAGGGGAAAGTGCTGGAGAGGCATTCCCATACAGGATACAAACTGGCTCATTTCAATGTCAAAGCCCCCCCGGGGTGGCACTCTGAGATCAACACGCTGTTCTCACGTCACGGACTAATCCTGGGGGTTTCAACACTGAAGAGTCCGCAAGGCCCACATGGGATCCCCAAACTCTGCAATTGTCTTTTCAATGAAGCTGCCTGGGCGCTTGGTCTGAGGACCCGGACAGAGCCTGACGCCACGGACCAGCCCTCCGGAGGCGGTGACTGGCCACCCACCCTCCATCTCTGCTGCTTGACTAAAGAGCCTCCTTGGAGGTTGGCCAGGCGCCTCCTGCATACCTGGCGTAGCTTGTATTCCTCCTCCACCTGGCCCAGGTCATTCAGGTGATTGAGCCAGGCGGACACGTCCAGCCTCCGGTACAGGCTCTCCTCAGGGTGGATTTCAGAGGATGGCAGCTTAGGCCTTCGGATGGAGAACTGCATGCATGTCCTCTCATCCGTGACCTGCTGGACGGGTGGGAGGGACCCGGTGGAGAGCAGCTCTCAGAGCTCGGGCTTTTGAAGCCTGAGATGCTGTTCCCAGGATGTCAAAGCCACTCTCTCCTCTGGGAGGAGGGGAGGCGCTGTCTGTGCACACAACTCCTAAATGGCAAGTGCAATTAGACACAATTAAAATGAAAATACCTTCATCCTAAAATCTCTCTCCCTTTGCAACTCACAGCCTCCACTGCCCCCATCCCCTTCCTGCCCCAGCCGCAAAGAAAACCAGAATTAATACCCCTTAGAGCCCGACTTCCCTCTGCCAGGGAAAGCCTGCAATAGATTCCATTCGATCGGCTACATACAAAGGCTCGCTGTTCGGGTGAGCAGGGAGCCAGACTGTCAGATTGTCTCCATGCGCAGTCACGAGTCCAGGGAGAAACCGCAGCTGACATTTAATTCAAAAATCAAAGGTTGCTCATTGCGGGGGTGGGGTGGGGGTGGGGGTGTGGGGGTGTGGGGGGGGAGGTGTTTGCCACTATCGTAATAAGAGGAGCCAGCAGGGGGCTCTACGGGAGGGTGGAGCTGTAAAGTCAGCCCCCGGTTCTAATAAGCACATACAGTATCTTAAACAGGTGATTAAGAGGCTCTTATTACCTCTGTATGCAGATTGAGCAAAATATGGCAGAAAGCCTTGTGAAAACATGAATCTTCAAATGCTCAAGTTGACTTTCAGAAAGGCCTGGGCACAGATTTCATTCCCCAAGCACACTGATGTCAACCACTCTGAACCACACAGACAGCCAAATGCCATACTCCTCAGAGGGGACTCCCCAGAGCCAGACACCCCCATAGAAGGTGTGATGGGACAGTCCCAGACCCTCGGGGTTGGCCTCCTGAAGGAGGAGCTTCCACCCCTCACTGTAACCAACCATGTCCCACCCCGCTGTCGGCTGGGCTACCTGGTCCCTGAGATGTGTCTCCGTGCAGAATTTCCATTGCTGAAACACCTCAGAGAGCTTGTCCAGGCCGCCATGGTGAAAGTGAAAAATCTTGTATTGACTCTCTCGGCTGGCCACCACCAGCTGGCCACTCGTGCAAGCCTCGTCACTAAAGGGCCACGGGGGTCGGGGAGGGGTGAACACATTAACACAGGTTTTGATTTCCGAGTTTAATCAGAGCCCTCTGTCAGCCACCTCGGGCAGGAAACAGTGAGTCCCGAGGGAGTCTGGCTGCTTGTGTGGGGGAGCAGAGTCAACAAAACTCAGTACCCCCTCTAACTAGGAAACAAAGCAGCTGGATCCAGAGGGACCCCCCCCCCCCCGGGGCGCACCATTCCTGAGCTGTCCTGGAGACCTGGAGGAGTTTGTTGAGGCCGGCTTGCTGGATGGAGATCTCAATCTCATAAGGGGTTTCTCAAGCCTCCTCTAATCTCATGGCTGGATCATAAGAGGACAGAGGAGAGGGCCTTCCAAAATCTCTTTCAAAGCTGTCACCCCAACCACCTCAGCACCCTCGGGGAAAGGCTGGAATATGGGTCTGGGGTTCCTACAGGTACTTTTGGCTGGTGCTGACTTGGGCTGATATGAGAAACCACAGTCAGGAGGCTGCAATCGGGGTTTATGAAGGAAAGGCACAGCAGTCTGCAGCGCCCACCTGCTGGGCTTTCTTTCCTGAAGGCCACCCTTTGCCTGAGGATGAGTGGGGTGCTGGGCAGCCTCAGGTGGGAGACCACAGATGACTGTGGGTGTGTCAGGGAGGAAACTGCTAGCATTGGCTAGACCAGTCGCAGCCCTCTGCTGCACGTGAGACTGGAAATGCACATGACTGTATGTGCCCCCTACATGTGTGCTTATGCATACCTACACGCATGCACATACATGTATGCACATACATGCAGGCACACATGCATGCTTCCAGGAAGCAGGGGATAGGTTCTTACCTGAAGAAGAGACGCAGGGAGCGCATGTGGCCCAGGTCCACTCGGAACACACCGCAGATCTGCTCCAGAGCACATCCCCGCTGTGGCTCATCCCAGCGAGGTGTCTGCAGGAGGCCATTGCTGTCAGGGAACCGCAGGTTGGCATCGGAGCTACAGGGGGAGCTGGCGGAGGAGGTGGTGTGAGGTCGTCTCATTTGTGTGCTATGCTCTCCCAGGGAAAGGACAGGGAGGGGGGCCGTGTAACATACACCCCGAGCTTAAATACAGAGGACACGATGAAACCCGCCCTACGGAAACCGCGGTCCAGATGTCAGTGAACAAGCCATTGAGAGAGCAGATCCCAGCACTCTTTGAGAACAGTGATACTCTGGTTTGAATAATTTTTTGTTTGTTTGTTTTGTTTATTTATTTTTTTCCGTGGGCCGACTCTGCGACTTAAGGTGAGTTACCAGGCCTCTCTGAGCCTTTACATCTTATTTATAAGACGGAGGTAGCAACAGAATATGTGTGGAATGGGCAACCGTAAAGTCCCTGGGCCTGAAGAGGACAGCGGCCTGTCAGTCTTAAACAGTATGGGCCTTCCCCATAGGCTTAGATTTCTTCTCCATTTCTTAAAGACAATGGTTACTGGGGGATACACAAGGGCTACTAATATTAACTGACTGACTGACTGACTGACTAATATAACTAACTTAACTAATATTTAACTATAAGCATCCATAATGACTTGTGGACATACGTGGGCTTGGCTACTTCCCATGTGCTGTGGGGCAGAGTGTGTGTAAAGGCCGGAGTCAACAATGGGGTTCTTCCTCCATCCCAAAGTGACCCTGGAGCTCACTGATTGGCCAGACTGGCTGCCTGGCACAAGTCCCAGGGTTCCTCCTGCCTCTGATTTCCCCAGCACTGAGGAAACAGTGTGTGGTACATGGCCTGTTATTTATTTATTTATTTATTTATTTATTTATTTATTTGGTACATGGCCATTTATTTATTTATTTATTTATTAATCTTTTATACATTACACACCAACCAAACCTTCATCCCCTATCCTTCCCCTCCCCTCTCCCCCAGATCCACTCTTTTTCCCTTTCTCTCCAGAAAAGAGCAGGCGTCCCAGGGATCTCAACCCAACAAAACAAGTCATGATAAGATCAGGCACAAGCCCTCATATCAAGGCTGGACGAGTCAACCCAGTAGGAGGAAAAGGATCCCAAAAGCAGGCAAAAGAGTCAGAGACACCCCAACTCCCACTGTTAGGAGTCTAAAGAACACTAGGTGTTCTTACGTAAGTGCTAGGGTAAGTGCTAGGGATCAAAGCCAGCAAGCACTTTACCCGCTGAGCCCTGTGCCAGCCCTCATTTTTACATGAAAACTGGGATTACCCTACTGCTCAGAAAATGAAACTAAGGCCCAGAGGGGGTTTGTAATTTCCCTAAGGTCACACAGCTAGCAACTAGTGGAGCTACGCCTGGAACCTGAAGTCTGTCCTCCAAGTGTCATTTTGCTTCAAAAAAAAAAAAATCCCACTGACTATTTACATGTTCTTTTGAAAAATATGTAATTATACAGTTTTGGGCATCATTGGTTAAATCCTGGAGATGCGGCAGTGGTGTTCTGCAATCAGTAGCTAAGGTATTGTCTGAGCAAAGGCGAGAGAGTCTGTTTCCAGCCTTGCGCTGAGTCAGCACAGTCAGTAACTGCTTTCTGCCAGAGCAGAAGACCCAGTGTCTACCACCCAGTGAACAGCTTCCTTGGAAGCCTGGGTCTAGTTCCTTCCCTCTCAGCCATCAAGGGGAGAGTAGAGCCCTTGATACTCAGAATGCCTGGCCAGTGTGTGGCCTGGCTCTCCTTCCCAACCTGTCAGGAAGTCATCCCAGCAGGGTCCTCCCTTAGGCCCAGGATGCACCCTCGTCTTCCTGAGTGGACCCTGCTTCTTTCTGTACACCGTAAAGTCCTCATCCACAGTCTAGGTGAGAGTCTGCCAAGAGCTGCTGCCTACCGCATCCTGCATGCCATCCATAAGCTATGTGCGAAGCGGCTGGGTCTGTCCATGGCACACTCCCCTTTAATTGCTATCGGGTCACTATAACATTCTACAACACCATTCTCCAGCCTCCCAGAACCCCACAGAGCAGGTGGCAGAGCCAGGCCACAAGCAGAGGCCCCTGCTGGTCCCCGGGAGTAGGGCAGGAGTTAAGATGCTTCTGGAACACAATGGTTATGTGGTCAGGCTTCCTGCCCTGATGTCAACATGGCAACACAGAAAGAGGAGAGCTATGCAGACAGTTAAAATATCAGCGTTTACCAGGAGCTGGCGGAGAGGAGACACGCACTGTGGAGCACGGGACAATACAATCCTCTGTATGACACCACAGGGTCGTTTGTCCCAAACCAGAGAGCACACAACAGCAGGAGAATGCCTTGTGCAAACTGTGGACTTCCGTCAGTGTGGCCCATCCGCGATCTCATGGCTGATACTGACGGTGGGGCGTCTGGGTACCCATGGCACCAAGGACACAGGAGAAATCTCTGCAATGAACCTGAAACAACCATGCTAAATAAAAGTCTATCAGGCCAGGTGCAGTGGTGCAAGCCCATAAGGCCATGCTCCAGAAACGGAAGAGGGACGGAGGAGCCTGAAGGCAGCATGGGTGAGCGACACAGGGAGCTGGAAGCTAACCTGGGCTACATGAGATGCTGACTCAAAAGAAACTAAACAAGCCGGGCAGTGGTGGCACACGCCTTTAATCCCAGCACTTGGGAGGCAGAGGCAGGCGGATTTCTGAGTTCGAGCCCAGCCTGGTCTACAGAGTGAGTTCCAGGACAGCCAGTACTACACAGAGAAACCCTGTCTTGAAAAAAAAAAAAGTAAACAAATGAATAAATAAATGTATATTAATAATGATAACAATAAATTGAAGAACAAACTGGTCGCTTACTGCATACGCTAAAGATTAATACTGTTAATATATAGAAATGCAAATAAATTATAGAAGTGAATTCTACACAGGACAATGACAAAAAGAAAAGACATTTTATTGGAGAATACACAAAAACTATTTTTTTTACTACTTTTAAATAGTTTTTACTATATTTACTCATATCTAGAGTAATAAAATGAATTCAAATACGAAAGAAGACTGTTCTGAAGGTAGGTATTAAGTTGGTGGTAATTCAAAGATTATAAAATCTTAGCTGGGGCCAGAGAGACAGCTCACAGTTAAGTATGAATCCTGTTCTTACAGCAGATGCGAGTTCAGATCCCAGCACCCACATCAGGCCGCTCACAACTCCCTGCCACTCTCTGTAACCCTAGTTTCAGGGAATCATCATCTGGAGTTCTCTTCTGTGAATCCTCTGTGAGCACCTGTACTCATATATAGAAAAATGCATGGCTAAGAATAAAAAATAAATATTTAGAATCTTAGCTAGGAGGGGTGGCATATACCTATAATCCCAGATCTTGACAGGGAAAGGCTAAAGGATCTGAGGTTGAAGTCACCCTGGAGGCCAGGAAAGAGCATCTGAGACCTTATCTCAAAAACAAACCAAACAGGCAAACAAATATAATAATAATAATAATAATAATAATAATAATAATAATAATAAAACAATCCAGGGTCCTCAGGAATACCTTGGGACAGCTTAGAGACTGGCCTGATTTCTCTGAATGTCAATCTGGAAATAAAATGCAAAAGGCTTAACATATCTGTGTGTTTTAACCGTTTTGCTTCCTTTCTAGCAATTAATTCAAGGATAATAGTCACAGAATCACATGTGTGGATAGATACAGGATATCCTATTGGCAAAATTGACAAAACCCAGAAACTAGGAACAGAGGAGACTGTTCTTAGAACAGGAAGGACACTGTGCACACTCTATAGCTAACGTACTTAGAAAGATGGAATTGTTTCCCTCAAAAACAGGAGCTTGGGGCTGGAGAGACGCTCAGTGTCTAACACTGGTTGCTCTTACAGAGGACTACAGTTTGGGTCCCAGCACCTACATCACGGGTCACAACCATCTATAACTCCAGTTCCATGGGATCCAACATCTTCTGACCTCCGAGGCACCAGACATGCACATGGTACACAGACAAACGTGTCGGCCAAACACCCATACGGGTAAAATAAATAAAATAAACAACTAAAGTTAAATGAGAACAAACCAGGAGCTAGGTAACGGCTCCGGCTTCCGCCGGTATCCTGTACCCTCCAGTGCCCGCCCTCACCTCTGCACAAGACAGGAAGAGGAAGAGGGACCACAAAGACGGGAGGAGAGATCGCGCAGAGGATGTGACTGTTTATATGAAGCCTCTCTGGGGAATTATAAAACAACTCTTAGAGCCAGCGAGTGAACTGAGCGAGTTTATAGGCTAGCAGGTTAATAGAGAAGAACAGCCTGCATGCTTGAATCATCCAGACACAACTGGAAAACGGAAGAGCACATTTAACATATGCCAGAAAAGAAACCATGGCCCACGGGGACTGCTCAGTGCATAAAGCCTGGCCGAGGAAGCACAGCAACAAGAGTTTATTCCCCCAGAACCCAAATAAAACCCAACATCACCCCAGTGCTTGGGAGGTAGAAAAGGGATTCCCGGAGCAAGCTGACTGGCTAGCCAAGCAGAAACAGGGAGCTCTGGGCTCAGCGAGAGTCCAGGAGGAGCCCGATCAAGGAAGACACCAGATGTCAACTTTGACATACATCCCCACATGCCGTGAACACATATACATGCACCAGCAAACAGAGATCACAGATGAGACCGCCATACTAAAAACATACGGCTGCTGAGAGAAATCAAAGGGTCAGCGAGAGAAGACACACCGTGTCCACCTTCTCAATGGGTGTGTCTCCACTGGACGTCTCCACAAGACAAGTCAACTCCCTCATGCCACACCCCAAAGTTAGCTCAAGATAGATTACAGATCATAATGTGAAAACGGTCAACCTGGGGCACTCCCTGACCACCACCGCTTTTGAGTTACTGAGATGGCCCAGCAGGTAAAGGTTTCTTGCCATGGAGTCTGGCAACTTGGGTTGGAACCGTACGACCCATATGGTGGAGAGAGAACCAACTCCTGCAGACCGTCTTCTGACCTTCACACATGCCCCGAGGCTTGCGTGTACAGCCCCAAGCAAACCCACAAACACACAAA